GTCGGGAGTGAGCACTGACTCCCGGGGGAGAGAGAGCTAGGAAAGAAAAGTCATGGAAACTTATTCTGTATGCACTTCTCCCAATTTTTAAACGGATCGCATGTTACGTTGCAGGTGTAATTAATCGCTCACTGCAGCTCGTTACGTTTACGCAGAACAATCATTCTTTTAAAATAATTTGAAATATATTATCTCAGAAATTATTATTATCCGTGGAATGTAGATAATACATATTTGTGTGAGTAGATGATCATCCAGATTATTAATCATCGTACAGCAAAATTTGCTTTCAAAATAATTTGAGATATTTATTATCTAATGAATACGTTAAGTTAACATTAAGTTAATACAGATGAGTACTTAAATTTTAATTATAATAATATGCGTTAATATGAATAGATAGTGACCCGGATTTTTGTTTGTTATTAGTTTTATTTTAAATAATTAGCTCTAAATTAAATGATAATTATTTAGGGGCTACATATATTTTTTAAACTAATACATCAGGAAAATATCTTTTCTATCATTTTCTACAAAATCGTTTGAGAGCAAAACCGAACCCGAACTCTTCACGATTCCACAAACTCTTCTTCAAATCGGTGCAACAGAAATTCGCGCCTTTTTTAAGCAGCGCGAGAAAACAGTATCGCCCAGAGTTTTTTCTCTTTCTCTCTATAGGTGTTCCGAAGTCGCTCGCGCGAGTCGGGTTCGAACTTGGTTGACCGGTCGGACGAGCCGGATCGGCTTTGCTCGAGCACCTCGGAGTCTAAGTCTTCATCATCATCATCATCATCATCCTCGTCTTCGTCGTTGTCATCGATGGCCACTTCTTTGTCATCCAGTCCGGCCAACAAAGAATCTAAAGGGGTGTTCGGCAATACTCATCCCCGAGAGAGATGCAGAAGCTCTAGAGATGTGCGAATAACCCGATACTTCCGTTCGACTTCCGTCCTCGTCTCTGATACCGAATTTTAATTTGCGGTCTAGACACAGAGATGTGTTGAAAGCATGTAAGGTTTCAATCAATGATGCAACTTTTGCCGAGGTTTGCGCCAAGAAAGAAATTAACTTCAAAATTCTGATTCTATTTTGATCCTGGATCCGGACCGATCTGTCGTTAAAAAAATTACAGTAGAGATAAGATACGCATATCTTTTCGGTCTTCATGATCTCCTAACATATCGCGGCTTATTCGCGAGATATGGGATTCCTAGCGAATCCGCATATCCGGAGTCCTCCAGATTCTTCTCTCTTGGACCGGTACCGGATGAGAGAAAACCCGACGAGGGGGAACAAAGGGGGAGGGCAGAGAGATAGGAAAGGTACGAAAGGGAAGACGGTAGAAAACGGCAGGATACTCAATTCCCTTCGCGCTCGCTCGCTCAACGCGGCGCGGAGCAGAGAGCTGGGAGCAGGGAGAGAGATGATGCTAGGGGCAACTCTCGCTTTGTCCAGGAACCGGTCGACGTGCCTACCAGGAGGCAAGCAGGCAGGCAGGTACACATCGATCCGCCAATCGTGCCTTAAGCGTGCTGCACAATGCCGACAATGATGAGAGCTTTCAGGAAAAGTGTCCCCGAAGTGTAAAATGCGATCCACTTCGATTTTTGTATTTTCCAACGTTAATAGACATTGTTATACTTTAATGCATTCTTCTGTGCTATTTTTTTGCAGTTTTTTCATTATTTTATAGTTTTTTGATAATGAAGTCCATCTTTTTTTTCACGAAAATGTCTAGACACCAATGACGTTATTATCGAATTTCGAAGAAATTGGCGCACCGGAGTGCCTTTGTTCTGGGAAAAATACACCACAGTGCTTCTAATCCGATCTCTAGAGTTCTAGAAATGTTTCCGACGCGCAAAGTCGCCCTCGGCTATTGTTTCTCACCTTTTTGATGACCGCAGATCACAAAAAAGACGACTTTCATTTCTCCTCGTCGATAGTTAGGAAGATTTTTATGATTTCAGTTAAAGAAAAAAGTCGTGAGAAAGGATCGCGAAAATTATGTGGGAAAATTAGAATTATTTTTGCTAATATTTGTGCTTTTTTCCTAACTTTGATGAGTTAAGAAAAAAGCACAAATCCTAACTAACTAATTGTAAGAATATTTTAATTTAGATTTGTTGAATACTCTTGCTAATTAGAATTAGGAAGAAAATATTTTTTTTTTTTTAATAAGTGATAAAAGGACTGTTTGAATGAAAACTGAAAGAAAGCACGGAGAAAATTTACCCCTCTCAGCGCGTTCGTAGCATGATTTTCCCGGCGGGATCTCGCGGTTGTTTGCGTCGGAAGGCATGCACGGCTATCAATCATGCCCTGAAACAGCAATAGAGACGTTACGACGTAGCGAGGAGATATCGTATTCCTGTAAACGCAAAGTTCAATTCGAAATGGAGCACTCGAGATAAATCGCTTTTTGCCACACGGATTTCTTTTTATGTGGCAAGAAATGCGGAATCTTATACGTTCCTCCAGATAAAGTTGCTCAAGTATAAGCAATATATTGTAAATGTTTTATATTTGATATGCGGATACGGATAACGTACAGAGAGCATAGAATTTCTCTCCGTCTTTTTAAATAAAATATCACCGACATATATTAGATTGCATATTAGATGGACTTTTCATACGTATATGACGAAGAGTGTTGTCTGTTTATTTAAAAAAGAAATTTTACATCAAATTATAAGATTTACTTGAAACCTGACAAAGAATAACTTGTTATTTTTTGTCGCGAAGCTTATTTTATAAAATTTTGTTGAAATTCGCACTATATTCTTTTTTAACATAGATACATGTATATTTTATATAGAAATTAGAGTGCTATAAAATAATTTCGATTGCTCGTAATTCGAAAGCAACGTTTTTATGTCGAAACAAGTAACTCTTTTTCGTATATTTGTCATCGTTTTACGCCTTTAGCTCCTATCCTGTACAGCCTTCTCAATGCTTCAATTATCAAACGGTAATTATGCGTCACGAACACTATAGACCACACTATGGTACCCTACCCTATTTCGCATCGTGAAATCGAAACGTCGAGCTTCTGATAATTCAAAGGGGCCGATGTGCCCGCGCGCTTTCCGGTCTTTGATCGCGATCAATCGATCGGAGCTTCAGCTTGGCTGCGCGCGGTTAGGAGAGCCACCGGCTCTCAAATCAATACTTTTAGACAATAGATAATGTGACGCGGCAAAATATAAAAACACGAGAATAATTTTGTCGTATGTCAATAACGTCGAAATACGCGAAGGCATAAAAATTACAATCTCAAATCCCGGTTCTAGGTTCTCTTCTGAAGCCAGTTTGAGTTCTCGCAATCTTTCTTTCTCTCTCTCTCTTTCTCCCTCTCGACTTGCATACCGCATCAGGTTCGCGCCAGGGCAGCCTCTACCTGCATTCCAATCTACCCGGTCGACCTCATTCCGCCATTATACTATTTCGTTCGGTCTCTCGGTTATCTCGCGTTCCTCCAAACATCGTTTGCTCGCGCGCTTGCTTGTTCGCGCGAGAGCGAGTTTTCGGGGCCGAATTATGTCACACGACGTCGGATCCCCCGTCCCTGTCATTGCGCTCCCGATTCGAGATCATTTCTTCGATATTTTCGCGGCTATCCGGACCACGATAAAGTGTAGGACAAACGTAACTGAGTGTACCTACGATCATTAATTTTTACGCCGAGAAGAAAAAATTATCGGTATAATAAAGTGCGATATAGATCAAAATAAATTGATTTTTTATAACAGTGCAAATTTTTTATGTTGAGAGAAGAAGAAACTTTCTGTAAAGAGATGCCAAATTATTCGCTTACTGATTTTACTGCGATTTTTTACCGACCTCGACATTAATTTTTCCGATATTGTTCGCAAAGTCCCTTGGTAGCGATCGGTCGTTCCGCGTAATGGACCCTCTCTCTTTCTCTCTCTTTCTCTGTGTCTCTCCTGGCATTATGACATCGACAATCGTATTCATTACGGCCGATTCGATCACTGTCAGCAGCAGGCAAGTAGATACCATCGAGAGCCGTATATCGATATTCATTATCTATTACGTTATCCCGGACGATCGGGTGCTCGGTCATTCGCCAAATGCATTCGTATACGCCATAAATCAAGCGCCGCGAAAATATTAACTCTCTCGACCGCACACGTGACACGGATATTTCACGATGAAGCGATCCGCACGCGTGTTACTTTACACCGCGTTACAGCGCGATTGCAGTTTTACTTCGGACGTTGATGGATCGGTGTAACTCGGTGACGGATTATTCGCTCAGTGGCCGTTGTTCCGATAAAAATTTTTCCTTTTCAGAAGACCGCGCGGCCGATCATTATTATTTTCGCTCGCGACAATTAAGCGGACAGTGAAATATTATTCAGCTAATAAGGAAATATAAAATCATTCGGTAATGGAAGGATATCTGTACGGTGCGTTGGTGCGTATGCGCAATAATGATAATAAGATCAATATCATCCGTGATATTCATGATAAACATCGATAAAGTAATTATTAACCGCGAGATATAACAACAACCCGATTAAATTTGCTTTAATATATTAATTAATGTTCCAATTAATATTCTGGAAACGTCGCAGACACAATTCGATATTTTATCTCCAATATCGAAATTAATATCCACATAACAAACTGTTAACGAACATATTCGTTTTACTTCGCGCGGGTATTTAGGCTTCTAAAAAAAATAAATTGTAACCTCCGATTGAAGTTCAAGATTTAATGCATTTACGTTCGGTAACGTTATCGAGAAATTTACATGCCGTGTCAAAAATGAGATTCGAAGGATTATTAAGAGGTTTAAATGAAGTCGTCGTACGGTGAAATTAATCGACCTGTTTTACGGGTGCGACGTAACGATCACGGAGAGGAGAATCACCTGTTAATTGCTAGTCGCTGATTGCACACGTGCACGACACGACTTAGCATAATACGAGCGATCATAATCGATAAATTCCTTAACGAGCCACCCAACACAGATACGTGATCACCGAGCTGCTCCAGAGCGACTTGCACAAAATCATCGTGAGCCCACAGCATCTCAGCCCGGACCACATCAAGGTCTTCCTTTATCAGATCCTACGAGGTGAGTAACAGAAGCAGCTTTAACATATCGCGTTCTTCTTATTGCGCGTGTAACGATACGAACGGAAATTTTTTTTTTAACGAAGAAGACGAGGAGTTAAGGTATATCACTTTATGCTTTTAAAATTTACAGCAGCGTATTTTGTGTTATAATTTTTTTTATACAGGATGATACATTTTACTGTTAAGTTAAATTAAAGAAATGTAGACGAGATATGCGATTCAAACGGGTAACTATAGTAGGTGAACTCGATTAAGACATAACGCTTGTATCCTTCGTCAAGAAACGAAAACCTGTAAAGAAGGTAGGGATAAGAATGAGAAAGTTCGATGTTAGAGCATCCAGAACGACGAAGATGCCGGTCCGGTCTTTCTAGACGACCTCTCAGGAGTCGTTGAGGTCGAGATTCCGAGATAGTTCAGGTGGGAGAAAGCGGGGGGAGGGGGAGAACAGCGTTGGGTGTGAGGAACGAGATGAGAATAGCGAAGGAGGAGGAAAAGTCGACGGTTATAAAAATCCACGAGCGGCATATTGCCTTCGTCGTCGTGGGACAACAACGGTTAGGCGGGCGAGCGGGAGGAGGGGGACGGAGGATGGGGATTTGGCAGGAGCGGTGGGGAGAACTAGGATAAACAGGATCGTTTCTATTCATCCCTCGGGATCATCCCGGGATCTCGACGCTCCTATATCGTCCTTACATTGTCTGGGCTTGCCGAATTACTCGTCCTCGCCCCTTCCCTCCCCCCTTCCCTCCGTCGCGCTCTGTCCCTTTCCCGGGGCTTGAAAAATGTTCGTTCACCCTTCTCGTAGTGTCTCGTTTATCTTTTTTTCTTGGTCGATTCCATCACTGTTTTCCTTTTTTCGTAGAGAAAAAAAACGCGCGGAGATAAGTCTCTTGCGACTTATTTTTCCATGTAATTCATACTGTTAATTTGATTAGTTCGGCAAAAATTACAAGAAGAATAAGGTTATACA